AGGGTACACAATAATATTTGTTTTATTTTTAATTAATATATAAGTTACTGCACAACAGAGTACCAAACATTAGTAAAAATAGAAAAATACAAGATTGGTTTATTATTTGTATACAAGCATTATTGGTAAAATGCACATGAAATTTCTTAATTTCTGCTATATTTTGAATGTCCATATGGTTTAGAATGATGCTACAATAGGGTGCAGCCTAAACTAATTAAATCAAATATTAGTTAGAGTAATATATGAAGATCATTAATTTCAGATTTTTTATAGGTCATATATTTAAATATTAAATTTAATTTACATTTTTTGGCATAAGTATCTAACAAAAGTGCATATAATTTTTTTTTAACCTGAAGCTCTAAACTAGCTCTACATGGTAATAGAGCTATTTTTTAATAATTTCTTTTAAAATTTTTTACTAAAAATAAATAAAATAATTAATAATAAATTTTTATATTATAATTATTAATATTTCAATTATTTTAATAAACTACTAAAAAATAGCTCTATTACCATGTGCAGCTAATTGAGAGCTTCAAGTTAAAAAAAATAGTATTCACTTTTGTTAAGTATTTGTGCTAAAAAATGTAAATTTAGTTTGATAATTATTGTTTTATATACTGTAAATACAGATAAATCGCTCTATATAAATAGATATAATTTAATGATTAATTATATAAATACATATTATATATTTAAATCTTTGATTATATCACAAATTAATATGCCAAAAACAAGTAAAAATAAGCAGTATAACCAGTGACGACATTTAAAAAAAGCATATAGTACTATAAAAAAACCTTTACAAGAAAGTACCAATAATAATTTAACTGAAGACTCAAATTCAGTTCAAGATATAGTACTTAATAAGGAAGATTCATTGCAAGAAGAGTCAGAAATTAGTAATTATTAAGAATTCGAATTATAAAATTTTAATATATTATGAATATTATATAATTAAAATATAAATTACAATATTTAATAGATTCAATTAATCAAAATATTAATATTAGTCCTACAATTAAAGAATTGTATCAACAAATAAATTGTATTATTACTAATAATATAATAAATTTTACAGAACAATCATTAAATTTATTTATTAAGATTGTTCAAATTCTTATACAAGATTTTAAAGATAATTCAAAATTATTACAAGCTCGATTATTACTCTTCGATGCTATAATTCGAATAGATTATGATGAGTTATTATTAACTTCCTCTTTAATGGAAACTATGAAATACAAAAAAGGCCCAAATGAAGGTAAACTTCTTTCAAAATATTTACAACACAAAGCAATGAATTTTATAGAAAATTCATTTAATCAAACAAGCCATAATGTTGAAGAATGTATAGTTGCAACCAAAAAATCTAATAAAACTATAGAATTATTAAAATATAAATTAAATATAATCAAAGCAGAAAATAAGTCATTACATGAACATATCGGAAAGTTTTTACAAAATCGCAAGCAACATATATCACAAGTGCATTCTAATGCTCACAAATCTTCTACAATAAGTAAAAAAAGAATTAAAGGCTGCAGTTCAACAACAACTAATGAAAAATAAAAAACAATATACAAACAAAACAATTGAGATGGCAACAAAAGTTTGTCAAATTGGTTCAATATCATTTTGATCAGCTGTTGAATGTACTAAAGCTGTTGTTGAATGGTTAATTGGTGAAGAACCTGATCAGTGGTTTTCAGCAAAAACTCTTGTAGAATGGTACAAAGATATTACAACTATATATACTTCTAATCAATGTAATATAATTGAACCAAGTCAATTCTTTGGATATGAGATAATGGCAGACGAATCTAAACGGAGTGATAGTAAAATTTTTATAGTTTGTTTTAGTTATTGGAGTTCAAATGCAAATTGTCCACATGTAACTATGCTAGAAATGAAGAATCTTTCATACTGTAATAGATCAACTGTTGCTAGTGTAGTTATTGAAACTTGTATAAATTGTAAATTAGATCTCAAAAAATGTATTACCTGAATGATTGATAATACAGCTTATATGTCTGAATACAAAGGTGGTGCAATTGCACTATATAATAATAGAATGCAATTAGAATCATTTTGAATCTCATATGGTATGCATTCAGCACATATTATGATAACCCATTTTGAAAATGCTGCTTTTGGTAAATTAAATGTTGATATCAGATTTTCAGCACAAAAGCATCCATTTAATTTACTATATTTAATTTGGTATCTTCATAATGGGTATGATGAAAGTAAAAAAGAAAACCCAATTAATATGAAAGTCTCTTATATATTAGATATGTATAAACAGCTTACTGGGTTACAGCATACAAAGTTTCAAAAACCACTTCGCCAATGTTGGTTATATGAGTTACATGCGGCAAGACAATTAGTTCATAGAAGGGAATCAATAAACATATTTGTAGAATGGTTCATAATGAAACTTAATAATTATAAAAATGCATCAAAAAAATATACTTCACAATAGAAATTATTATATGATTGGCTTAAGGACCCTTTACTTAAAATTCAGATTGAATGTTTGGTAAAATTTAAGAAAGAGATATACAAACCTATAATGAATTTTTTAGCAGAATTTGACTCTACTTCTAGAATATTAGAAAATAATAAAGAACTTACTACACTTCCTCCAGAATGTAGAGCACATGAAATGCCTGATGCAGTTGCCCAATGGATTAAGAAACTTGTAACCATTATAAATGATATTTATTCTTTCTTTGGAGATGAACTTTTAGATGCTATTAATAGTTTTAATGATGATGAATTTCAAATATTAGTTGATAAATTAGTTGCAAGTGTAGATGCAGCACTTGATTCACTAAAAACATGACTAGGAATGTGAATACATTTACCTTTGAGCATATGTCAGCTAGGAGGTGACAATGGACATGAATTTGCTTTTGCATATGCCAAAGTTATCTTGAAAATGTCATGGAATTCTAATACAACCAAAATACAATATTATATTCAAGAGCTTGAATATGATATTGATTCAGGTACAGAGTTTCAAGACTTCAGCTTATCTGAAACACTAAAAGATCCAGCATTTTTTGAAGAATTTGCAAATTTTGCGAATTCTTCAGAACAAATTCATAACTATTGTCTATTGTATAAGTTTGTCAAATGCTGCATATATTATATTGTAGTTCATCAGCAGCAAATTGAAGGGCTTTTTAATAAGTTTGATTTGAAAAGCCATTCAAATATGTCTGATGAAACAAAAAAAGCAAAACTTACATTGTCAACAGTAAATATCAAGGATGCTTCTGTTTCAGAGATGGATTTAAGTACTGCACGCAGTCAAAGAAAAAGCATGGCCAAAAAAATTGTAGAAGAATCAACAGAATATGGAAAAATACCTGCTGATGAGTTATTTGACAATTTGTTTGATGCAAAAAAAAAAAATTAATTAATAACGATATTATGTAATCAAAAATTTAACTTTATTTAATTGGAAATTTAACTTATTTAAATATAACTATTAATAAATCCGAAATTAATGATCTTCATATACTACCCTAACTAATGTTTGATTTAATTAGTTTAGGCTGCACCCTAATGCTACAACACATGGTAGCTCTAAAACCAATCAATTTTAGGTTAAAAACTATAAAAAGAATAGCTTTTTGCCCTTTTAAAAGGACAGTTCTTAGAAATTCTGTTTTTATATATATAAAAAGCTTCTTGTAATAATTATTTAACTAACAACTCTTTAATAAAATAACTTTTAATTACTATTCTTTAAATATTACTTATAACAACTATTTTTTATTTTATTTTTTATTTTATTTTTCTTTATATTTTATTTTTATTTCTTTTATTTTTCTTCTTTATTTTTTATAATAATATAAAATGAAAAGTTGGTTTTCTTAATTAGTTATTTGGCAAGTACTAGCTTTATATTATTTATTTTATTGTTTTTTTCATGTAATAATATAAAATGAATAGCTGGTTTACTTAATTAGTTATTTGACAAATATTAGCTTTATATTATTGAAATTTAAAGACTATATATAGCTGTTAATAGTCTAATTATTAAAGCTTGTCTTTTTCTAATTATATTCTATAGACATTTTTAAGTTTTAAAGTCTAATAATCCTTGTACAGAATAAACATTTTGTTACATCTAATCTTCACAAACTAGACAATAGAATTAGTTTAAAAGCTGATTTTATTGTTGTACTTTATATTGTCTAGAAGACTATTAAATTTAAATTTTACTTTTATATACTTATTTCTTATTTTTATTTATTTTTAATTATTTTATTTTTCTTTAAATAAAAGTCTTTTACTTGGCATTCATGCATTTAAAATTACTACAGCTTGCTAGTTTTTAGTAAATTTTATTACAGTATTTCAGAAAGGTTTTTATAAAGTTTAATATATTAACTATATTATTTTTCTATAGTTTAGCTTTTTAAAAAGTTTGGTTTAAATAATTATCAAAAAGATTATTATTGTTATAATTTGTAAGATAAAAACAAAAAAAATATATTAATTAAATTTATTTTTTATTTTTTATTTTTTTAAGATGATGTTTTACCTTTATCTTTAAGAAACTAGTATTTGTATCTCCCATATTTGGTATTCATATCCTCTTAGTAAAAAATTAAAAATTTAAAAGTTCAAATAAAGATATCTTGATAACTGTCTAATTAAATTCAATGAACATTTTTTATTTCAATTCTATGAATATATAAAATTCAAAAAAAAATATTTTTATCAAAATTAATTAGATAATTATCAAGATATCTTTATTCAAAGTTAAAAAAAAATCAAAATATCTATTAAAATAATTATACTAAATTTTTTTAAAACTTTGAGTGAAGATATTTCAACAATTGTCTAATCAAATTCAATAAATTTTTTTTATTTGAATTTTATGAATTCATAGAATTTAAATAAAAAAAATTTATTAAATTTGATCAGATAGTTATCGAGATATCTTCACTCAAACTTTTTAAAAAACCAAAACATCTATCAAAATAAAGCTGTGTCAAAATTTTATTAAAACTTTGAGCGAAGATATCTCAACAATCACCTAATCAAATTCGATGAATTTTTTTTATTTGAATTCTATGAATCTATAGAATTTAAATAAAAACAATTTATCATATTTAATCAAATAGTTGTTGAGATATTTTCACTTAAAATTTTAATAAAATTTCGGTACAGTTTTTATTTTAATAGATATTTTGGTTTTTTAAAAAAGTTTGAGTAAAGATATCTTAATAATTATCAAATTTAATCAAATAGTTGTTGAAATATCTTTACTTAAAGGTTTAAAAAATTTTAATACTACTTTTATTTTAATAGATATTTTGGTTTTTTAAAAAAGTTTATGTGAAGATATCTCAACAACTATTTGATTAATTTTGATAATTTTTTTTTATTTAAATTCTATGAATTCATAAAATTTAAATAAAAAAAAATTTATTGAATTCAATCAGGTAGTTGTTAAGATATCTTCATTCAAAGTTTTAAAAAAATTTAGTATAACTATTTTAATAGACATTTTGATTTTTTTTTGACTTTTTTTTTTTTTTGGTATTAAGATGAGGCCTTGCTTATATCTTTATTAATAATTTAAAATAGTTACATGTATATA